CACACACACACACACACACACACACACACACACACACACACTTACACACACACGAAAACAAACACACACACACACACACACACACACACACGAAAACAAACAAACAAACAATCAGTTTTATGCATGTCTGTCGATTTTCCTGTTGTTTGTTATTTCTCCTACTTTACTCTCTCTGTGTTTGGCGAAGGTTCTAAGGTTCTCTGCTGTTTGGACTGCCTGCAGGACTCCTAGGGGAGCCGCTCTGTTCGCGATGTCTGTGTGGTGCATATGGTCTGTGGGGTGATAATAGACGTCTGTCGGAGTGACTCCCTGGCTCAGCGGGTGGTGGCAACCAACACTCTGCAGGGTTCACTCGCACTCTGCAGGGTTCACTCGCGCTGTGAGTAGGTGATGTGCAGCTTTGCTCCGTGTTGGATGTGTAGACTGCCTTATTTGCGCTTCACCACTGCCTTCCTGCCTGCCCACTGTCCAGTTTGCGTCCCATGTTGTTCTTTGCAAGCTGCTGTGTGCGTTGTTGGCGCTGCTTTGTGCTTCGCTGTGATGTTGCCTTGCAATGCTGCTGCCTTGCTGCCCATCCTCGTGCCTTGCCTTCCCCATTCCTTGCTTATGTGCCATGTAGTGTGGCGGCCGTGTTGGTGTTGGCAGTGTTGCCATATGCTTAGCTGCGCCGTTGCCGCGCTGCTCGTCCGCTTGCCTGTTGTCTGTGCAGTTGCACTACTTATGTTGTCTCGGATGACTCGACAGCATTGCCTGGTGCTTCGCCGAGTTGCTGCCCGCTGCTATGTTTTGTTTGTGGACAGTCTACCTTGTATAAGGGTCAACGGGTTCATGACCCAAAGCATGAATAGAAGCATTCCGCAGCTTGTCGAGGGTTCAAGTTCAGCCTCCTGATGAGTCGTTGCAACTCCGACGAAACAACATCAGTTTTTATTTTTTTCAGTTTGTTACACAAACCGGAAAACCTTCTCTGTATCGTTCCAGTTTTAATGGATGTCCCCGGAGGACAACTGGCACGATACGGAGAAGATTAGAATGGCCTTTGTACTCTATCCGCGAAAGAGTTGTTCGCGGGATTTACGGCCCCCCCCCAGGCCCCAAAAAAAAAAAACATGGGGCGGTAGATCATGATGTAGAGGTTGTGCAATTTTTTTTTCGTTTTTTTTTCTTGTTTTTTTTGTTTTGTTTTAAACACACCCCCTGCAGTGCTAATGCTGCTTATAAGAGCATGTGTCACTAGCACCTGGGGAGAGCCTCCATCTATTGGTGGGGAGGGTCACCTGCTGGAAAAGGGGTCCAGCGTCCCTTACACAATTCCCTTACACAATTCCCTTACACAATTGACTTACCGTGAGGGCACGGGTGCACAGCCCTTAGTTTGTTTCGTTTTGGCTGTGGCGAGGCCCTGTGAGAGAGAGAGAGAGAGAGAGAGAGAGAGAGAGAGAGAGAGAGAGAGAACATCTCTGTTTCTGAATCTGGCTCAGAACTGCTTCCAGATTCAGACAAAATCATCCAGGCCGATTGGGCCGAAGTGGGTGGGCTGGGCATGAGGCTGTAGGCCTGGGTCCACGCCGTTTCAAAATATTTTAGACCACGGCCACCTACCGGTTCCCAGGAAAATGCCACGGGCAAATACCGGTCCTGCATTTGCTTGAACTGCGCCCCCCCCCTAAATGCCAGTGCCTTTCATTTTACCAGCCTTTGAATGACCAATGGGCCCGAATGAACGACCGGTATAACGAACGACGACGAAAATGTCTCGGGGGGGAAAACGCAACCCTGACGGGCTGCGAACATGAATCAGGAGACTATCAGGAAACTATGACTGAGAAGGAGGCCTGCCAGCATTGATTACTCTGTCTCTAGAGGATTGACTGAGCAGGTTGTTGAGGAAAAAGGGGAGAAACC